GGTATTTTTAATGATATTTTACAGTTGATTTCTAAAGATATTTTTTAAGGACACTTAGTCCTTTTATCATGAATTTTTTATAATAACTTTTCATGGAATCTTCGTCCTTTAGACGTGGATTTTAAAAACAATTTTTTTTAAATACTCTCTGTCTTTTAAACCTGTATCTTGTAATAGTGCGTTTCAGGGACTCGTAAAACTCTAAAAGAAACAATTCCAAGGACTCATATCCAAAGTAGATTTTTAGGTATAATTTTCCAAGGACCAAACGTGATTTTTGGATATTCTAAGGCTCTTTCAAGCATATTTTTAAAAATCGTTTTTCAAGGACTTTAGGTCCCTAAATGTTGACTTTCAAGGACAAATGTTGATTTTTCATGATCTCCTAACTCCCAGAAGTATTTTTTTAAGAATAATTTTGTATAGAATTTTAAGAATAATTGTTTCAAGGACTCCTAGACAATTTCAATTGCTCATCTCTTAAAGTGCACTTTTTAAGAATATTTTTTAAGGACTAATAGATTCTTTAATGGGTAGTTTTAGGAAGATATTTTAAGGACAATTTTATAATTTATTTACAATTTTTTAAAATATTTCTTCAAGGAATATTGGACATCCAAAAGTATAGGACTATCAGACCATATGTTAATATTTTTGGAATATCATTTTTTTCAAGGACTCTAAAACCATCTCAATTGGATTTTTTGAAATAATTGTTCAAGGGCTCTTGGATCTCCAAAATTATTTTTTTAGACCTCTCAATATGGATTTTTTAGGAATTCTAAGGACAAGGACTTAAATGCAGGGTGGGATAAAAAAAACTGCAACAAAGTCAAACGCCATAATTTTTATTTTTTTTTTAATTTTATTGAATGAAAGATGCAAAAAATGTCGGAAACAGCATCAAATTTTAGAATAAGTTTAGATTTGTTCGTATTGGTCACCTTTGGCACGAATTATGACCTTCAAACGGCCAATGAAACCGTCACACGCGGCCCGAATGTTGCTCTGCTGTATTTTGTCTCATTCCCGGCGAAGCGCTTGCTTGAGGTGATCGATACTTTGGTATTTTTTAGTGCCAACCTTGCTTTCCAAAATACTCCAGACACAATAGTCCAACGGTTTGGTATCCGGAGATTTTGGTGGCCATTGTGCGCTGGAAATGAAGCGAGAAACCTCATTTTATAACCATTTTTGGCTGGTGCGTGCTGAGTGCGATGGTGCTGAGTCCTGTTGGAATGTCCAAGGCTTTAATACACCCTCCAGAATATTCTCGCGATAATATTCGGCATTTATTCTGATGCCACGGTCGATTAATACGAGCGAAGAGGGACCATCGGCTGTTATGGCGGCCCACACCATCACCATGGCCGGCGCTTGAGTTCTGGTTGCCAACCGAAGGTGACCTATTTGGCAAGTAAACCTATTTGGCAACCTATTTGGAAAGTAAACACGGTCGTTTTTTTTGTCTACAAACTGCTGGACAACGAATGTTTTCTCATTGGAGAAAACCAAAATCGGCGGTTCACCACTTTCGTCCAAGCGAAGCAACTCTTTAGCTCTTTTGAATCTAATTTCTCCCGTTGCGATGTAAGTTCTTGCACTTTTTGGAATTTCAATGGTCAGCTCATTTTTCAATATTTGCCGAATGGAGTATTGCGATATGTTCAGCTCACGAGCCATTTTTCGGCCACTGCGATGCGGGTTACGACTAAATCGCTTCTTTATTTTTCGAACCATTTCTGTTGATGTTGCTGTTTTCTTTCGTCCACTTCCTTGGCGTCGGCCTACGCTACCAGTATCACGGTAACGAGCGGTGGTACGAGACGAAAAAGATTTAACCACATTTAAATGCTGGAGTGCTCTAACGATAGCCATTTGTGGTTTTCCAGCCAAATATAAAGAAATCACACTATCGCGCTTGAATTCCTCCATCACGAATAACTTTTTTTCTGGAAAATGCTCACCAAAATGCTTTTGTACGCTTGTAAACAATATAATGAGCTGTCACTGGAATAATTTTAACAGCTGTCGGATGAGTGGCTTAGAAATGACAGTAGTCTGAAATTTGTTGCAGTTTTTTCAACTCATCCTGTATATCATCTGGGGCAGGTAGCAAGAGAAATGGTCCGATCTCAACCATCTTTATAACAGATCTTGTGTAGATGGAAATATTGAATTATTTCATGTCTGAATGGAATCGGATGTTAATTTCGCGTTTTATGGGCTTCATGGATATTCAAAATTTTGACCCTTTGTAGGAAAGGTATCAGCAGCACCGGACCGATATATCCCATCTTCACAACAGATCTTGTGTTAGTATAAATAATGGGATGTGTGAAATATAAAGAGAACTTCATGCTTATTTCGGATTTTATAAAGGTTTTGGTAATTCAAAACTTTGACCATTGGGAGAGGTACCAGAAAGAATGGTCCGAACTCTACCGTTTTTATAACAGATCCTGTGTCGATAGAAATATTGAAATGTGCCAAGTCTTAAGGGATTCGGATATTAATTTCGCGTTTTATGAGATTCTTGGATATCGAAATGTAAACTTTTTTGTGGTACCCTACACCACTTTGATAATTTAGTAGAGCTCCGCATGGCAGTTAAAAGTTTTGATGGGAGAATTCAATCATACACGTCATGATTATAATTATAATTTACAGTTCAAAGGACTAAATATGCCGAAGCATTTGTATCTTTTAAATTCGGACTTGTATTTCCCATTTGGGGCACAATTAATTTGAAATCGGATTAAGATATATATGGGAGCTATATCCAAATCGGAACCGATCTCGATAAAATTTGGCAAAGATATTTCTGACCTGTAGTTTATATATTTCCCTGAATATCGTTGTTACGGAGTGCATATTACGGCTGTGGGTAACAAATATAACTAATCGGATGAACAGTATATATGGGAGCTATAGCTATATCTGAACCGATCTTCACCAAATTTGACATACTAGCTTCTAGACTTAATTCGGTTGTAAGTGCTAAATTTCATCCCATTTGGGTAAATATTAGACGTTTGGTGCACAATAAAAGGTAAATCGGACGAAGTTATATATGGGAGCTATATCCAAATCTGAACCGATCTCTATAAAATTTCGCAAATGTATTTCTGAGCTGTATTTGATCAATTTCCCCAAATATTGTTGTTACAGAGTGCATATTACGGCTGCGGAGGACAAAAAGAACAAATCGGATGAATAATATATATGGGAGCTATAGCTATATCTGAACCGATTTCGATCAAATTTGGCATACTAGCTTCTAGACTCAATACGGTCATAAGTGCCAAATTCTATTCCATTTGGACAAATATTAGACGTTTGGTGCACAATCAAAGGTAAATCGGACGAAGTTATATATGGGAGCTATATCCAAATCTGAACCGATCTCGATAAAATTTGGCAAAGATATTTGTGAGCTGTATTTGATATATTTCCCCAAATATTGTTGTTACAGAGTGCATATTACGGCTGCGGAGCACTAAAATAACAAATCGGATGAACAATATATATGGGAGCTATAGCTATATCTGAACCGATTTCGATCAAATTTGGCATACTTATTTTCAGGCTTAATTTGGTTGTATGTGCAAAATTCCATACCATTCGGGCTGATATTACACGTTTGGTGCACAATAAAAGGTAAATCGGACGAAAATATATATGGGAGCTATATCTAAATTTTGACCGATTATCACCAATTTCAATAGGGTTCGTCCTTGAGCCAAACAAATGATTTGTGGAAAATTTCATCTGGATAAATGTGAACTGTACTTTGTTTACAAAAATACATGGACAGGCGGGAAGACAAACGGACATGTATAAATCGAGTCAGAATGTGATTCTATGCAGATCATCAAAAGGAACTATGGGTCTATCTCGTTTCCTTTTGCCTGTTACAAACAAATGACTACCTTGTGGTGTAGGGTATAATTATTGAGTTATTATTTCTAATTTCCAAACGAGAATTGTCTTTCCAAAAACTTCACCCTTTGCTTCACATAACCCCAAAGAGCCAAATTTTTGGCGGGAAATAAAAATGTATAGAAGAGTATGTTTTTGTATCATCGCTTTTGCCATGGGGTGCAAAAGGAAATGCATATACATATATATATTTTTTTACATACATTGTTATGTCTATATGCTTAAGTTTTACATACAAAATAACGGTTTTTTTCTCTATATAAATTCGTAACATAGTATCCTATGCTAGTGTTAAGAGATTGCATTTGTAGTGGTTTTTACAAAATCTAATTTTTTCGTGGCACTCACATATTTGTTGTTGTTGTCGTAACACAATCGTAATTTAAATTTAATTTCAAATCGATAACCTAAATTCAATTTACATTTTGTTTTCTTTTTTTTGGGAGGGGGAGGGGGGTGGTTTGGTGTTTGTGTGTCGACATCGTCACTTACCGGTCTAGACAAATGTTAGTTTTACGTTTTCTAGGTAAATAAATCATCAAACATGTCAAGCAAAAGGAATTGTAACATTTTATATCCTTGCAGGACAAGCTACATATGGAAAAAAAATCACATAATTCGTGTACAATAGGGTGGGGTTGAAAATATTTTTTTTTTTTTTAAAGGAATTTTCAAAAGTAGAAAATTGAGGATTTTTATTGCCAGCCTGGATCCTGCGGAACCCAAAAAAAAAAAAAATTGGACGATGTATTATCCCCTCCATGGAGGCATATTTTCAATTAATTTTTCTAATGTCTAAAAAGCTGCCATGCTCCTTGTTGTTATCTCAGTATCCTCGTCTAATGCCGAATCGGCCGCAGGCACATACAGCTGGCAATGTCCTTGCCCCCAATGGATGTCATAGATGTAATATTTGTTGTAATCTAATTAAGTGGTTTCCCTTTTTCTCCTGCATTCTCTGCCTCTTCTGTTGCTGCCATGAAGTGTGGGGTGAGGGGGTGTTAAACTTTTGTTTTCATCGTTGTAAGAGTGTGTGTGTGCTATTCCGCTTATCCGGCCATGTGTCGTGATGGTGTCGTTAGAGTACCCGTCAACGAGGCCGGAGGTGTTATGTTGTCGATATCTTCCCCTTCGCTGAGATTCTGAGGTGACATGGTGACGATAATTAATAAGTGTTGTTTAGTTTTGAATGAAAATCCTTTTTTACTTACCATACGTTGCCTTTGCTGGTGTCCAAAGAGCTTTTCATTTTCATGCAGGGCTTTTGAGAGTTCTTCAATCTGAAATTCAATGAAATCAATTAAATTAAAGGAAAAACTAGAATCCACCATTTTAGGGGAACCCCAAACTCTGATAAGACTTATATTCAAAATGTTGTGAAACTGAAAATCAGGTATTAGTCTTCAAATTTAGTTTGATTTCCATACCTTTTTATTTTGCACGGTGACTGTGTGCAACAGTTTATTCTCTCTATCCTGGTAGCTGCCCTTTATATCCATTATGGCTTTGCAAAAGGGATTCGTTTCACACTGATCCTTGTCATGGTTATACATCTCGGCATACGAGAAGTTTCCAGTCTAAGAGAATAAAACAAATTTAAATAAAAAATAAAAACAAAACAAATTAAAATATGTCGAATTTCAAAAGAGAATCGGATGTTAACTCCCCGTTTTATGAATATTGTGTGGGGGAGGTACCAGAAGGGGTGAGCCAATGTTACCCATTCTTCATAGCAGATCTTGTGTCAGTCAAAATATTGCAATGTGTGAAGCCTATAAAACCTTTTGGTATTTCAAAATTTTATACCGTTTGTGGGGGAGGTACCAGAAGGGGTTGACCGATATATCCCATTTTCACAAAGGATCCTAAGCTACTAGAAATATTGTAATGTGTGTAGTTTGAGAAGAATCGAATGCTTATTTCGCATTATATGGGCGCTTTGGTTTTCCAAAATTTCAACCCCTTTTGTGGGTGAGGTACCGGAAGTGGTGGGCCGATATCATCCATCTTCCCACCAGATCTTCTCTTAATAAAAATATTGGAACGTGTGAAGTTTAAAAAGAATCGGATGATTATTACGCTTTTTATGAGCATTGTGGTTTTTCAAAAATTTAACCCCTTTGTGGGGGAGGTACCAGAAGGAGTTGACCGATTTAACTCATCTTCTCACCAGATTTTGTGTCGGATGAAATGTTAAAATTTGTGAAGTTTGGAAAGAATCAGATGATTATTTTGCGTTTTATTAGCGTTTTGATTATTCAAAATTTTAGACCCTTTGTGGGGGAGGTACCAGAAGGAGTGGTCCGATGCCTATTAGCTTCACACCAGATCTTGTGTTGGTAGAAATATTGAGATATGCAAAATTTGAAGACAGTCCGACTGTTATTTGAAATTTTATAAGAGTTAAAATTATTCAAAATTTTGACCCTTTGTGGGGGAGGTACCAGAAGGAGTGGTCCTATCTACCCCCATTTTCATATCAGACCTAGGGTTATCCGAAATATTGGGACATGCGAAATTTGAACACAATCGAATCCTTCTTTCACATTTTATTAATGATGCAATTATTCAAAATATTAACCCTCTGTGGGGGAGGTACCTGATGGAGTGGGCCGATATTACCCATTTTGGCATCCGACCTAGCACTAATAAAAATATTAAGATTTGCAAATTTTGAAAAAAATCGAATGATTCTTTCTCTTTCTATGAGTTAAAATAATTTCTCTGAGAATTTTGACCTTTTGTGGAGGAGAAACCAGAAGGAGTGGAACGATATTTCTCATCTCCGGTTTCGATCCAAGTTTGATAATAATATTTCGATATACGAAGATTGGACCAAATCGGATACTACCTTCGAGGGTTATCGGGCGCATCACCCAGCCCAGAAAGACAGACGGACGGACCGACGGACCCCTTGATCAACTCCAAATGGCCTAAAATGGATTTTGTCCAAAGAGACCAAAGGTTTAAAGCCGATGAGGTATGTTTTGACCGTATCAAATGATATCTATTCTCTATAGCCATATGGCTGAGGGTATGGAAAACCAAAAAAAAAATATTACTATTTGAAAGGATATTTTCTAAGCAGATTTTCAAGGACCCAGAAGGCAACAAAGGTGGATTTTTTAAATTTATTTTTCAAGGACCAACTAGGTCGCCAAACTTGGATTTTTAAGAAAAAATTTCAAGGACCAAAAGTGTATTTTTTAAGAACCAAACGTGGATTTTTACAAATATTTTTTCAAGGACCAAACGTGGATTTTTAAAGATGTTTTTTCAAGGACCAACTAGGTCACCAAACTTGGATTTTTAATAATATTTTTTCAAGGACCAAACGTGGATTTTTAAGAATTTGTTTTCAAGGACCAAACATGGATTTTTAAGAATTTGTTTTCAAACATGGATTTTTAAGAATATTTTTCAAGGATCAAAGGTGGATTTTTAGGAATTTTTTTTCAAAGACCAACTAGGTGACCAAACTTGGATTTTTAAGAATATTATTCTAAGGACCAAATGTGGATTTTTAAGAATTTTTTTTTTAAGGACCAAATGTGGATTTTAAGGAATATTTTTTTAAGGACCAAAAGTGGATTTTTTTTAGAATATTTTTTTCGAGGACCAAATGTAGATTTTGAAGAATATTCTTTTCAAAGACTAAGTGTGGATTTTTACAAATATTTTTTCAAGGCCAAACGTGGATTTTTAAGGATATTTTTTTCAAGGACCAAACGTGGATTTTTAGATATATTTTTTGAAGGACCAACTAGGTCACCAAACTTGGATTTTTAAGAATATTTTTTCAAGGACCAAACATGGATTTTTAGAAATATTTTTTCAAGGACCAAACGTGCATTTTTGGGAATATTTTTTTTCAAGGACCAAACGTGGATTTTTAAGGATATTTTTTCAAGGTTTTGGTTTCTTAGGAAATTTGTTTTCTAATTTATTTTTTTACTTACCAGGCTATTTAGCAAAGCCGCAACACTCCTCAAAGTTTCACTATTTCGTTCCGAAATATATTTGGTAGATTCCAAATTTGTGGATAACTCTGAAAACGAAGAAAAACGAGTCAATTATAAAACCGCAACCCCCTCCACCTCTTTCTGAAAATCAGCTTACTATTATTCTCCAATTGCAAAGTTTGCACCTGACGTTTCAGCTCGAAGTTACTGTCATTGAGACTGCGCAAACGTTTTCGTATTGTCTCCAAAATCTTGGCATCCTTATCGAATTCATTTTTCGAACCAATGCCGGAATCATTATCGGCTTCATTGGAGGTGGTGGTGGTCTCGGACAGAGCTGAACTTTCCAAGTCAATGAGTTGTCGCCGCATAAAGTCTAATTTGCGATAGGCTGTTACTTTTTCACACTCCTAGAGAGAGAAAATTTGTTGAAAAGACATGCAAATCGGAAAACTGAAAAAGGGAAACTCACTGATTTCCTTACTATTTCCTTTATTCTCTTTTCCATTTCTTTCCTCTGCATTTCATCCTTGTGTTGCAAATCATAATATTCATCTAGCTCTTCGTGCAGCGTCTTTACCTTCTCCTCGACCATGTGTTCGGTTTGACTCAAGCATTCAAACTGCGAACTGACATCGTCCAAATACTGTGCGTGAAAGACGAAAAACATGAAAGAATTATAATTTGATTTAAACAAAAAAAATATATATGGGATGATCCTCTTGTAAAATATATTCTTTAAAAATACACGTTTATGCCTCCTAAGGTCCTTTGAAAAATATTTTTTAAAAATCCACGTTTATGCCTCCTAAGGTCCTTTGAAAAATATTTTTTAAAAATCCACGTTTATGCCTCCTAAGGTCCTTGGAAAAATATTTTTTAAAAATCCACGTTTATGCCTCCTAAGGTCCTTTGAAAAATATTTTTTAAAAATCCACGTTTATGCCTCCTAAGGTCCTTGGAAAAATATTTTTTAAAAATCCACGTTTATGCCTCCTAAGGTCCTTTGAAAAATATTTTTTAAAAATCCACGTTTATGCCTCCTAAGGTCCTTTGAAAAATATTTTTTAAAAATCCACGTTTATGCCTCCTAAGGTCCTTGGAAAAATATTTTTTAAAAATCCACGTTTATGCCTCCTAAGGTCCTTTGAAAAATATTTTTTAAAAATCCACGTTTATGCCTCCTAAGGTCCTTGGAAAAATATTTTTTAAAAATCCACGTTTATGCCTCCTAAGGTCCTTTGAAAAATATTTTTTAAAAATCCACGTTTATGCCTCCTAAGGTCCTTTGAAAAATATTTTTTAAAAATCCACGTTTATGCCTCCTAAGGTCCTTTGAAAAATATGTCTTGAAAATCCACGTTTATGCCTCCTAAAGTCCTTTTAAAAATCCACGTTTATGCCTCCTAAAGTCCTTTGAAAAATATTCTTTAAAAATCCACGTTTATGCCTCCTAAAGTCCTTTGAAAAATTTTTGTTAAAAATCCACGTTTATGCCTCCTAAAGCCCTTTGAAAAATATTTTTTAAAAATCCACGTTTATGCCTCCTAAAGTCCTTTGAAAAATATTTTTAAAAACTCTACGTTTTTGCCCCCAAAGACCTTTGAAAAATATTTTTTTAAAATCCACATTTATACCTCCTAAAGTCCTTTGAAAAATATTTTTAAAAACTCCACGTTTTTGCCTCCTAAAGTTCTTTGAAAAATATTCTTTAAAAATTCACGTTTATGCCTCCTAAAGTCCTTTGAAAAATATTTGTTAAAAATCCATGTTTATGCTTACTAAAGTCCTTTGAAAAATATTTTTTAAAAATCCACGTTTATGACTCCTAAAGTCCTTTGAAAAATATTTTTTAAAAATCCACATTTATGCCTCCTAAAGTCCTTTGAAAAATATTTGTTAAAAATCCATGTTTATGCCTTCAAAAGTCCTTTGAAAAATATTCCTCAAAAATAACAATTTAGAACTCGAATTGTATTTTAGCCCGACTTACCCTTGATGGATTGTCCTCAGAGACCAATGTTGAGGGATCACTGCGCGGTGTATCGGAATTAAGCTGCGGCATACTTGAGCACGTCTCCACAGGACTCTATGAATGATAAGAGGAATGTTATATTTTTCCCTACTTTTTCTTTTCGAATTGAATTTTCAAAAAAAAAAAAAAAAGACAATTCTGACAACTCTAATACACTGGAAGAAAAAGCCCTACCTTGGTATAGCATTTGAGGTCATCGCGTAATTTTTGTATGACATTATCCTTGAATTGAATTTTCTTGGTGGCTTTTTGTATTTCATCTTCGAGGCAGACCACCTGGCGTTTCAAATCACGAACTTCATCGTGTTTCTCGGCTACCTCCAAGGCCAAAGCTTTAAGATTGGCATACAACTGTGGCGAGAAGATAAGGACGGGTAAAGGATTTAGCAAGAAATTGAAATTTTATTAAAAATAGTTCAAAACAAAGAGGGGAGAAGGCAATTCGAATTCAAGAGCGTCTACCAACCATATTTCTTTGCATAGTTTCGGGATCTGAGGAATTCTGAAAAAATTGAACGATAACTTATAAATTTTGTCATTTGCCACCATTTGACTCACCCCCATTTGTGTTGCCGCCACAGCTCCTTCAACATTTCCAAACACCATGTCCGGTGATATGGTCTCAAATGTTATTCCGCTCACGTTCATGACATCGTATTGACAGGATTCGCGAATAAATTTAATCAGGGTATTGATGTCCTTGCGACATTTCAATAATTCATTGCCTTGACTATGGCGGCAATTTGAACTGACTTTTCGCTGTAAAAATTCCAAGCGCTCAGCGACTTCAGCCTCTAGTTCTTCCATATTTGATATGGTCGATTCATTGACTTTCAGGAGCATATCAACCCATTCTTTATATGTGGCCAATTGAAGCTAGTAGATAGGACAATTATGTTAATTTTCTGTAGAAATCTGGTCAAAAATGTTATCGATAAGAATATTTTCTAGAGAAATAACAATATTTTCTAGAGAAAATATTCTTGATAACGATATTTTCTATAGAACATCTTGTCGATAACAATATTTTTTAGAGAAAATATTCTCGATAACAATATTTTTAGAGAAAATAATCTCGATAACAATATTTTCTATAGAAAATGTTGTCGATAACAATATTTTCTATAGAAAATGTTGTCGATAACAATATTTTCTATAGAAATGTTGTCGATAACAATATTTTCTATAGAAAATCTGGTCGATAACAATATTTTCTATAGAAAATCTGGTCGATAACAATATTTTCTATAGAAAATCTGGTCGATAACAATATTTTCTATAGAAAATCTGGTCGATAACAATATTTTCTATAGAAAATCTGGTCGATAACAATATTTTCTATAGAAAATCTGGTCGATAACAATATTTTCTATAGAAAATCTGGTCGATAACAATATTTTCTATAGAAAATCTGGTCGATAACAATATTTGTCTTGTCGATAACAATATTTTCTATAGAAAATCTTGTCGATAAAAATATTTTCCATAGAGAATCTTGTCGATAACAATAATTTCTAATGGAAATCTTGTCGATAACAACATTTTCTTTAGAAAATCCTGTTGATAACAATATTTTCTATAGAAAATCTTGTAGATAACAATTTTTTAGAAAATCCTACCGATAAATTTATTTTCTTTAGAAAATATTATCGATAAAAATATTTTTTAATAGAAAATATTGTCGATAACAATATTTTGTATAGGAATCTTGACAATTACAATATTTTTTTATCGATAACATTTTTATAAGCGTACTTACATGCACATCCCCCTCAGCATTCTGATCAATATCTCTCAACCGATTCCGATAAACATCGTTTAGAACTCCGTTAACTCGTGACGAATCACCAATTAAGGTGGGACTAAATTTCTGCACCTGGTGTTCGTAATACGCGGCAGTTGAATCCGGCAACGATGATCTGGCCTGAAAGGGATGCAGACACTGGACATTTGTCGATGTTGAAGGTGCCGAATTTCGACTGCGCAACACATAGGTAGGCGGATAGCCCGGTGTGGGAGAGGGAGGAGCACCACTTTGACATTCTGAAATATTCGGAGAATAGCCGCTATCATGTTCTGTAAATGACAAATTTGTGGATTCTGCTTTGACATTTGTCGTTGCTGCTGCTGAAGAAGAAGGCTGGTATTCATAGCTGGCACATTGTCTAAATTCTGGCTTGGCATAGGTTTCGGAGGCAGAATGTTGCAGCTTATTTTGTTGATGGCTGGTGGATGTATTTTGATTTTGTGCTGCAATATTGCGATCATCCATTCCCATGGTATGTGGTGTTAACGAGAACCTCTGTTGTCCGGGACGGATCTGTGACGAACTTGTACCGGATAGGGGATTTGTTGGATATGTTGAATTTAGCGATGGTGATCTCTGTGGCTTTGGTGGTGGCATTTGGGGAGGTCTGCCATCATTTATCCTTGAATTATTTTGCATATTTTTAGGAGATTGGAGGAAATGATTTTTCTTCTTAGATATTGGTTTTATCTAGATAATTTAACGCCAAGGAGAAGAACTCAGATGCAACGGGAGAGTTTATGGGATTTGGTCTCCGTCCTGCGGATCCAAAAATGTACAATGACACGAATGAATGAACAAATGCAATACTAAAAAAAAATAAATATTGATAGATATTTGACATATTTTGAAAAGTTGTTGACATGAATATCGGAGGTGTGGCGACAGATGGTCTGTTCCAAAACTGCAAGAATCTAAATCTTTTTACTACGATAACCGATTTTCCCATTATGATATCGAAAAAACATGAAATATAAGAACAAATGCAGTGATTGGAACCTATTAATATATGAGTCTGTCGAAATCTTTTTTTGTCGATAGCAAAATCTTTTCGATAACTAAATTTCCTATAAAAAATCCTGTCGATAACAAAATTGCCTATAAAAAATCTGGTCGATAACAATATTTTCTATGGAAAATCCTGTCGATAACAATATTTTCTATGGAAACTCCATCGATAACAATATTTTCTATAGAAAATCCTTTCGATAACAATATTTTCTATAGAAAACCCTGTCGATAACCACATTTTCTATAGAAAATCCTGTCGATAATAATATTTTCTATAGAAAACCCTGTCGATAACCACATTTTCTATAGAAAATCCTGTCGATAACCACATTTTCTATAGAAAATCCTGTCGATAACAATATTTTCTATAGAAAATGTTGTCGATAACAATATTTTCAATAGAAAATGTTGTCGATAACAATATTTTCTATAGAAAATGTTGTCGATAACCATATTTTCTATAGAAAATCCTGTCGATAACAATATTTTCTATAGAAAATTTTGGCCGATAACAATATTATCTATAGAAAATCCTTTCGATAACAATATCTTCTATAGAAAATCCTTTGGATAACAATATTTTCTATAGAAAATCTTGTCGATAACAATATTTTCTATAGAAAATCTTGTCGATAACAATATTTTCTGTAGAAAATCTAGTCGATAACAATATTTTCTATAGAAAATCCTGTCGATAACAATATTTTCTATAGAAACTCTTGTCGATAACAACACTTTTCATAGAAAATCTTATCGATAACAATATTTTCTATAGAAATCCTGTCGATAACAATTTTTTCTAAGGAAAATCCTGCCGATAACTATATTTTCTGCAGAAAATCCTCTCACAATTCCTGTTGTCGATAACGACATTTTCTATGGAAAATCCTGTCGATAACACTTTTTTCTATGGAAACTCCTGTCGATAACAATATTTTCTAGAGAAAATCATGTCGATAACAATATTTTCTAGAGAAAATCATGTCGATAACAACATTTTCTATAGAAAATCCTGTCGATAACAATATTTTCTATAGAAAATCCTGTCGATAACAATATTTTCTATAGAAAATCCTGTCGATAACAATATTTTCTATAGAAAATCCTGTCGATAACAATATTTTCTATAGAAAATCCTGTCGATAACAATATTTTCTATAGAAAATCCTGTCGATAACAATATTTTCTATAGAAAATCCTGTCGATAACAATATTTTCTATAGAAAATCCTGTCGATAACAATATTTTCTATAGAAAATCCTGTCGATAGCAATACTTTTTATAGAAAATCTGGTCGATAGCAATATTTTCTATAGGAAATCTTGCCGATAACAATATTTTCTATAGAAAATCCTGTCGATAACAATATTTTCTATAGAAAATCCTGTCGAAACCAATATTTTCTATACAAAATCTGGTCGATAACAATATTTCTGTAGATAATCTGGTCGATAACAATATTCTCTATAGAAAATCCTGTCGATAACAATATTTTCTATAGAAAATCCTGTCGATAACAATATTTTCTATAGAAAATCCTGTCGATAACAATATTTTCTATAGAAAATCCTGTCGATAGCAATACTTTTTATAGAAAATCTGGTCGATAACAATATTTTCTAGAGAAAATCATGTCGATAACAACATTTTCTATAGAAAATCCTGTCGATAACAATATTTTCTATAGAAAATCCTGTCGATAACAATATTTTCTATAGAAAATCCTGTCGATAACAATATTTTCTTTAGCAAATCCTGTCGATAACAATATTTTCTATAGAAAATCCTGTCGATAACAATATTTTCTATAGAAAATCCTGTCGATAACAATATTTTCTATAGAAAATCCTGTCGATAACAATATTTTCTATAGAAAATCCTGTCGATAACAATATTTTCTATAGAAAATCCTGTCGATAACAATATTTTCTATAGAAAATCCTGTCGATAACAATATTTTCTATAGAAAATCCTGTCGATAGCAATACTTTTTATAGAAAATCTGGTCGATAGCAATATTTTCTATAGGAAATCTTGCCGATAACAATATTTTCTATAGAAAATCCTGTCGATAACAATATTTTCTATAGAAAATCCTGTCGAAACCAATATTTTCTATACAAAATCTGGTCGATAACAATATATCTGTAGATAATCTGGTCGATAACAATATTCTCTATTGAAAATCTTACCGATAACAATATTTTCTATAGAAAACCTTGCCGATAACAATATTTTCAATAGAAAACCTTGCCGATAACAATATTTTCTATAGAAAATCTTGCCGATAACAATAATTTCTATAAAAAATCCTGTCGATAACAATATTTTCTATAGAAAATCCTCTCGATAACAATATTTTCTATAGAAAATCCTGTCGATAACAAAATTTTCTATAGAAAATCCTGTCGATAGCAATACTTTTTATAGAAAATCTGGTCGATAGCAATATTTTCTATAGGAAATCTTGCCGATAACAATATTTTGTATAGAAAATCCCGTCGATAACAATATTTTCTGTAGAAAATCTAGTCGATAACAATACTTTCTGTAGATAATCCTGTCGATAACAATATTTTTTATAAAAAATCCTGTCCATAACACTATTTTCTATAGAAAATCCTGTCGATAACAATATTTTCTATAGAAAATCCTGCCGATAACAATATTTTGTATAGAAAATCCTGTCGATAACAATATTTGCTATAGAAAATCCTGTCGATAACAATATTTTCTATTGAAAATCTGGTCGATAACAATGTTTTCTATAGAAAATCTGGTCGATAACAATATTTTCTATAGGAAATCTTGTCGATAACAATATTTTCTATAGAAAATCTGGTCGATAACCCTATTTTCTATAGAAAATCCGGTCGATAACAATATTTTCTGCAGAATATCCGGTCGATAACAGTATGTAGGACTATTTTAGTCCCATGAAAATATTTCCTCTCACTATTCCAAGTTTTTTTCTTGCGAAGAAATTCGAGTGGCACACTTTTCAATTTACAATAACAAAAACGCCAACAAGCAACTGCACCATTGATTCGCGATTATTGTTTTTGTGTTGCGTTCGTTGTGATTGCTGTCGTTCGTTGGCGCATTCATTTATTTATTTACATTTAATAATGAAAGGTCAGCGGCGATCATTTAAAAAGTTAAGTTTTGACTTGCATTCATTCTGTTTCGTTTTGTTCGAGTTTGTCATTGTGTCGCGATGGTGTCTGGACCCCGGTGTGGTGCATTCGGTATGGCTGCTGTAGTAGAAACTGATATTCTTATGGACTAACCAACCTCGTGTCTGGTTGGTTTCGCACACACATATTCTCTGTCATCTGGAATTACAGGTCTACGAGACAGAAAAATGAAACTAGAAAGAAACTACCAGACAGCAGGTGAGTGGGGGGTAACCTGACCCAGTCGCATAACTCGAAATGTTAACTCATTCAGATTTACGCATGACAAACGCATTTCGTTTGGCATTGAATTTTTGCACACTAAGCGCGTTGTCGCATAAAATTACGATGTGGCTGGCGGTGTTGGCCATGTGTTGGAACAACATATTGGCGTGTTAGCCAGTCAATGGTAACGGATTTAGTAACGCATTTGATTTTTTATTTTTGTTTGTTTGAAAAAACAATCACCGCTTCGCAATTTCCAGATATTGACTTTTACCATAAGCGTCGTCTGTCCTCCTACTGTCCCACACTTCCCCACTTCCCGACTGTCGGCCCGGTCTCGATGTTTTCGCTTGGAAGTTTACAAAACTTAAGCAGCTGTTTATAATTGTTGTTGAGATTTACAATATTTGTGTTGTCTTTTCTGTTGTTGTTGCTGTTATTGTTATTCGACTTGACGTTTTGCGTCCCAATACACTCGACTTCGATATGTACATATGCACCCCTAAGGAGATCTGAAACATACGAAAAACACAGCACACAAGCCAAAATAAACCGACGACGACGACGAACTTTTCAAATACCCAAATTTTGACGTCACTTGTTTGTTTTTATTGTTGTTATTATTAATATTCGATTATATGTTTATTTTATGATTTGTTGTTGCCCGTGTTCGTGGTGTTGAGTGTTTTTTCGCTCATTTCGGATTCTTTTCTTCTTTTGCAATGGGTCCGTCTTTTGTATGCTAGCTACTACCACACACGATTTCAGTTTGCGCCGTTATTGTTTCGCACGATTTCTTCTTTTGCGAAATTCGTATTCCGTTGATCGCGCCGTGATACGTTCCTCTAAACCGCCAATATGTGACTGTGAGACGACAAGCCAGCAGCAGACCCCAACAGCGTTTTTGAGGTGAAATAGTTGCTGCCTTATTCTGCTCATTGGTGTCTGCTGCTGCTGCCTTGAGATGTTGGGTGTTTGTTTGTTTGGTGCTCCACCTCCTCTTTCACCCAGAGTCAGAGCATGAGTTCTCTTTTATTTGTATTCCATAATCTCAGCCATCTGGAGTTGCTGATGAGAATATCTGATAAGAATACTCATATGTGTCTGTGAGCCACGGTACAATGAAGCTCACACTTAACAGAGTGGGGGAGAGAAAGTTCGTTGCATTATCTCTGAGGATTTGCAATGAGAACAGCCACACGGAGAGTCATTATTTTTAAATTACCGTAAAATTTAAAATTCTCTATTTCCAAACAACTGAATGCTTTTATGTAGGAGTATATTTTATATTTATCGACAGAACTTCTAAGAGAAAAATATTGGCAACATTTTCTATATAGATTACCATAGAGTATATTGTTACCGAAATTATTATATATAGACAATATTGCTATCAACAAGAATTTCGATAGAAATTACTGTTATCGACAAAGACATTCTATAGAAAAAATTTTTAGCGACAAGATTTTAAATAGAAAATATTGTAATCGACTGGATTTTCTATAGAAAATATTGTTATCGACCAGATTTTCTATAGAAAACATTGTAATCGACAAGATTTTCTATAGAAATTATTGTTATCGACAGGTTTACCTTTAGAAAATATTGTTATCGACAAGATTTCCAATAGAAAATATCGTTATCGACAACATTTTCTATAGAAAATATTGTTATCGACAGGATTTTCTACAGAAAATATTGTTATCGACAGGATTTTCTACAGAAAATACTGTTATCGACAACATTTTTTAGAAAATATTGTTTTCGACAAGATTTTCCATAGAAAATATTGTTTTCGACAAGATTTTCCATAGAAAATATTGTTATCGACAGTATTTTCTATAGAAAATATTGTTATCGACAGTATTTTCTATAGAAAATATTGTTATCGACAGTATTTTCTATAGAAAATATTGTTATCGACAGTATTTTCTATAGAAAATATTGTTATCGACAGTATTTTCTATAGAAAATATTGTTATCGACAGTATTTTCTATAGAAAATATTGTTATCGACAGTATTTTCTATAGAAAATATTGTTATCGACAAGATTTTTATAGAAAATACTGTTATCGACATTTTCTATAGAAAATATTGTTTTCGGAAAGACTTTCTATGAAAAATATTGGTATCGACACGATTTGTTATCGACACGATTTCCTATAGAAAATATTGTTATCGACAACATTTTCTATAGAAAATATTGTTATCGACAGCATTTTCTATAGAAAATATTGTTATCGACAGTATTTTCTATAGAAAATATTGTTATCGATTGGATTTTCTATAGAAAATATTGTTATGGACAACATTTTCTTTGGAAAATATTGTTATCGACAACATTTTCTTCGGAAAATATTGTTATCGACAACATTTTCTTTGGAAAATATTGTTATCGACAACATATTCTTTGGAAAATATTGTTATCTATATGGAAAGTATAGAAATTATTGTTTTCGACAGGGTTTCCTTTAGAAAATTTTGTTATCGACAAGGTTTTTTATAGAAAATTTTGTTATCGACAAGGTTTTTTATTGAAAATTTTGTTATCGACAGGATTTTCTATACAAATTTTTGTTTTCGACATGATTTCCTTTAGAAAATATTGTTATCGACATGATTTCCCTTAGAAAATATTATTATCGACAGGATTTTCATTGGAAAATCTGGTTATCGACAGGATTTTCTATAGAAAATATTGTTATCGACAGGATATTCTTTAGAAATTGTTATCGACAAGACTTTCTACAGAAAACATTGTTATCGACAACATTTTTCATAGAAAATATTGTTAATGATAACATTTTCCATAGAAAATATTGTTAACGACATCATTTTTTCATAGAAATTTTTTTCAATAACAATATTTTCTATAGAATTATATCCAACACCAATCATTATAAATAAAACAACAGCTTCGATTTTTGTTTCTTTTGCATTATTTTACATTCATTTTTATTAATTTTCTTTTTTTATAGTTTTTTATCCTGGATTTTCATTTGTTATTAATTTATTAATATTGTATATAACTTAAATGTTTAGATTCAGGGAAAATAAATGTAAAAAAATAAAGGAGTTCGGGGAAATGTGTTGAGTTAGGATATGAAATAAAACAAAAAACAAAAAAAAAATCAAATGGAGAAAGAAAATGTAAAACGAATCTTAGCTGTGAAAACCTTTTGCCATTTAGGGGTGATGAAGATTTTGGATGTGCTTATTATTTACCAGTTTTATAGATATATGTATCTGTGTGTTTTTTATATATGTATTTTGTATTGTTGTATGTAAAAATTATTAAAATGAAATATAAAATTTTAGTTTAGACAAATAATTTTCTTTATGATGAATGAGTCTCTCTTTATGTTTTTTTTTAAGATTTGTGAGAAGAGGGAGGGAGGGTTGGAGTTCATTTGTCAGGGTTGCGGCGTTGAAATATGAAGCTTAAAGGGATGTGGGCGTGGCATGGAGAGTTCAATTTTTTATAATTAATTTGTAATATTTTTTGCTTCATGGTTTCACAAATTTTATTTAGTTTCTGTTATTTTATGATTGGACTGGGGAACCTTATTACATTTTCATTTGAGAAATTAAAAAATATTCAACTAAACTTGAAGAAACAAAGTTTTGGGGTATTCCAGAAATAACAAACCTTTCCAAAAAATCTGAGATCTTAGAGAAATTAAGAAAACAAGAGGAGTACATTTTGTCTACCATTCACCAGATTTTTACATGTTTCGTAATCCAATTTTGACGACATTCTGTGGAGTCTGACCAGGCTATAGTTCAATACTTTTTTTAGTTTGTTAATTTAGTTTGGATTACGTAATAAACCGAGGCGATTTGAGTTTTCCTGGGAGCCCACATAGAGTTTGAAGATCTCTTATGGAACTTATCTGGGTGGAGTCTTGGGACTTCCAATGCGATTTCACGATACCAATGACGATAGTTAGTCGGGATTCTAAGTTTTTTTTCAGCGGAATTTTCCTGAAAGCCCACATAGAGTTTGAAGATCTTTTATGGAACTTATCTGGGTGGAGTCTTGGGCCTTCCAATGCGATTTCACGATACCAATGACGATAATTAGTCGGGATTCTAAGTTTTTTTTTCCAGCGGAATTTTCCTGAAAGCCCACATAGAGTTTGAAGATCTCTTGTGGAACTTATCTGAATGGAGTCTTGTGCCTTCCAATTCGATTTCATGATACTAATGACGATAATTCGTCGGGTTTCTAAGTTTTTTCAGCGAAATTCATTTATTATATGAACGGATTATTACAAACGACATGCATTTAAATTGGCCTCATATGCAGCAGCTGCTTGCGAGAGGAAAATAAAATTGTCAGCGATTTCTAGAGTTTCAAAAAGAGTTTTGGTAATTTTTATTTTAAAGCGAATCACAAAATTTTTTTCGAGACTTAAATTTTTCGCCAATGCCGATAAAAAAAGAATTCTGGGCTCCATATCGTTTTTGTATTTCTTATGATGAAGCGAATCGCAATATTTTTTTTCGAGACTTTAATTTTCCGCCCTTAAAATCTTTGCCGACAAAAAAAGAAATCTGGTCTCCATATCGTTTTTGTTTTTGTAATTTTTATTTTGAAGCGAAACCACAATATTTTACGAGACTCTAATTTTCCGCCATTAACATTTTTCCGATCAAAAAAGACATTCACTTTCAAAGAAATCTGAGCTCCATATCCTTTTTGTTGTTTTTTTTTTGTTGTTTTTTTTTTTGAAGCGAATCGCAATATTTTACGAGACTTTAATTTTCCGCCAATAAAACCTTTGTCGATAAAAAAAGGAAATTTGGACTCCATTTCATTTCATAAAATTACGTATTTCTTAGACTGTGAAAAGGCGTCACAATACAATATTGGGGGAGGGGGGCTTTTGGTTTAGATATATACATCAAAAACATATGAATAAGTCCGAAACTTGTATTCAAAATCATAATAAACTACTAGAGAGAAAGGGCGTGAGGGAGCGAGAGATGTATAGATACTTGGATGTGATTGATATTTCCGTTTTGCTGGTCATTTCGAGGAGGAAAAGGAGGAGGAGTTTCCACAAAATTTATTAAAAATTTATTTAAAACAGAGGGCAAAGTATGTTTTTTGTTGCTGTCTTTCATTCTTTTTTTTTTTCATTTTCTTTGCTTGTGTCCTTGTTGTAGTTGTATAATGTATAATTAAAAATCTAACTATAAATGAGTTCATGTTTTTTTTTCAATATTAAATCAATTCTCTTTTTTTTTCAAATATTGATATATCGCAATTATGTTTTTGTTGTTGGATTTTCTCTTCTTCTTCTTCGTATTTTTCCAAAATAAACAAATTTATATGTCTAATACAATGTATGTGTGTTTTATTTAAGGAGTTGTTGTTTTTTTCATTTTCCAAAAAAACGGATCACCACATCGAAGATGGTTTAAGGGTTGGCTTTAAAAAGTCTACGTTACTTGGGCATGTTTTGAGAGTATTTACGATGCCAGTTGGATGAGAGCAGCATTTTGTGAATGGTGTTGCGAAAATGCTTTTTTTGCAATTATTTATAAAAAATATTGAGAATTGGTTCTTTTTTTTCCAAAAACAAAACAAAAAAAGTTCCAGAACAACTTCCTTTTTCTTTTGTGGTGGTAATTCCTTGCCAAATTCTTCTTCACAAAAGTATGAACATGATTTGTTGTTTTTTAGTGAATTGCAGATGTTGTTGCCGTTGGCGTTGTTGTTGTAAGAAGAGATGTTTGTTTGTATATAATAGAAGGATCATCGCCATCATCATCATCATCACCATAATTTTTTTCATCTTCAGTATGTTTGATACTTAAGCTAGATAAACATAAACTTTACGATCATCTGGCGTTCTAGCCAAATATTCACGTTCGATAAGACCTTCTATTCGTTTCTTAATCAATACCGGTGAGGGTAGGAATCTTGATTTCAATTGTGATGTAACATCGGACACCAGTAAGTTGTGCTGAAACAAAACGAATACATTGCGGTTATTTTTCTTTCCAAGTAATATTTTTTTTCATTTTTGAAAAGTATACTTACCGGGATACGCTTTCTAGCTTTCATAATACGAACAATCGCAGCCTCGATTTCATGCTTACGATCCTCATCAACTTTGCCGCGAGTCTCCTTACGTTCTGGCTCGGTATCAGCTTTAGCGGCCACAGTTTGGATTTTAACTCTGGAATTGAAAAAAAAAAACAATGATAATATTCATAAATAGGGGGTTTACATTTCTAAATAAAAGGAACTAAGAAACAAGTTAAAAAGTATCAGTCGGTCTTGCCAACAGATGTATATTGTCTGAGACAATGTTTGATTATTTAAATATACATCTTATGAATATTCAAATCGTTGACCCTCTATGGAGTGGGTTCTGAAGCCAAATAGCTAATTGTAAAGAATTGCTGGCCTGTTTCCCCAGTTATGACAGATAAAATAATTGAAAATTGTGACCCTTTGTGGGTGAGGTACCAGAAGCGGTTCGCAGATATATATTATCTTCACCACAGATCTTGTGCTAAGAAAAATGTTTGTATGTGTGAAATTTGAAGAGAGTTGGATTTTTTTTTTCTCTTTTTCTTTGAGCGTTTTGTTTTTCAAAATCTTGAAACCTATGTGGGGGAGGTACCAGAAACCAGATCTTGTGTTAATAAAAGTATTGAAATGTACCATGTGCTTTCCCCTGGATAGGCTTACGGAGACGATTATGGGGAGATGGTCTGATCTAATAGAAATAATGGATTTGCAGGTCAAGTCATTTATCAGACCTGGTGAAACTAAGCGGGTTAATACTTGACATATTAATTGGTTCACCGATAAAAATCTGCGGGATATACACATTCGACACCTCTACCCTGGCAGTTCCACACTACTCCTCCTCCATATATTCCTTTTACGTGTCGCTAGAGACGAGGTGCTGAAGCGAGATAGGTCTGTATTGAACAGAATGGTGTAACAGGAACACTAATACCCCACCCACCTCCACTTCTGCTGCGAGCCTTCCGCAATACGTTGTAAGCTGCCATTTCCATTGAACTTGGTTTCCTTAAACGGTGCGCTTAAAATATTCCACCGAATTATAAATTCCACTCCATCTCATCTATCTCACCTCAATGTCTTTTGCAAGTGAATCGCAAAAACAATCCGGAGTTAGAACAGTAACATGAGTGCTTAAGGTGCTGCAGTATAGGAAATTGAGATCCATTACATCGCACCGAGAAAGATCGGTGGTGGAAGCCATTCTGACAAACCGAACAGAGCCATGGTCCGGATTTTGTTTGATCACGGCACAGTCCAAAGGCATTCCAGGACATAATGCATAACAAATATGCACAAAGGTGTCAGTAACTGGCCGAAACAAAATGGTTGCTGTTTAAGGTCAATCCTGTATCGTATAACCAAACGCGGCACCGGGCGATTTATCCTCACCGTGTGACTGTTTGGTGTAGTTTATAGTTAGTCGGGGTCATTGGATGTCCTTTTTATGCCCTCAGCCATATGGCTTGAGAGGGTATATATCATTTGATACGGCCAAAACGTGTCTTATCGAATTAATGGTTTTAGAGCCTAGGTCCAAATCCGTTTCAGGACTTTTGGAGTCGATCCAGGGGTGTCCGTACTTCTGCCTGTCTGTCTGTCTGGCGCACAATAACTCTCGAAGTGAGTATCCGATTAGAGTGTGATGGCTGATGCGCATTATAACTCTCGGAGAGTATCCGATTTGATCCAAACTTGGTACATGATAATATTATTGTTAAACTTTGATCGAGTTCGAAGATGGGCAATATCGTTCCACTCCTTCTGGTACCTCCGCCACAAAATGTCAACATTTTAAAAGAAAATAATTTACTGCATAGAAAAAGTAAGAATAATCCAATTTTGATCCAACTTTGTGAATCCTAATATTTGCATCAGTACTAGGTAAGTTGCGAAAATGGTCAATATCGGTCCACTCCATCCTCTAACATAAAAGGGTCAAAATTTTGAATAATCATAACTCAAAGCTGAGGGTCGGCAAAACTGACTGATACTATTTACTTGTTTTATCGAGTTGCTTAATAGATGGTTGCTTAATGGATTTTTATGGTCGGAGTGGGATGGTATTGTTCTGGACAAGGTTTATTTTCAATCAGACGGGGCTAAGTGTTATACGAGTAAAAGCGTCAAAACCATTACTCTTAAGGGGAAAATGGTTGAAATCAAGACTTCAAAAATGGAATTCGCGAGCCAGCCCCCTAGCGATTTCATGAAAGAATATGGACCTGTTAGTAAACGAAATGCATGCCAATTTGCGATTTGGCAACGTAAAATTTCATGAAAACTATATCCTTCTGAGAGAAGACATGTTGTGGCCATTGATTTGATTTTCATATTTTAAGACATCACTTTCTCTTTGTTATGCAATAAATATCCCATCATTTATCTCTATCGGAAACCCGCTTTTTGTATTTGCCTGGTCGTCACCTTAACAAAACTCACCTGTGGAATTTCGAAACAAACGCATCGTTCACCAGAAACTCATCCGTTGGATCGATATCTTTAGTTTTTGTTTTAGAATTTCGCACCAACAAACGTTGTGAGGGTTTACCCATTGACAGCGATTGGATAGCACGTTGCAGTTCACGTTCGGGTATATCTGTTTCCTGTAGAATTTCCTCATGTGTCATTACCTCGCGATTGTTGAACAGCATCAATATACACATCTGATAAGGAAAAAAAGTACAACAAATAAATATTAAGCCCCAAAACTCAAATAAAAATATCATTTCCATTATTACCTGATACGTTGACACTGTTAAAATGTGTTTCCTTGTTGTTGTGGGTATTGCACAAGCTGTCGCACTGGTCGATGAGGACATACTTGAACTGGGCGCATCTTTATCTGCTGCAGCATTGGCATTATCCGTTGGCTTACGTCCATAGAAGACAGCATTTAGACAGGCATTACCTGGGGGCGAAAGATGAAAAAAGGGATTTTATTTTTCAGAAATAAAAAATTTTTGCCAGCCTATGGCATGCATACCCAATTGTGGTTGTAAGGTCAATTGACGTCCTGAATGTTTATCCAAATAGAATTTCTTAAATATTTCATAGGCCTCTCTGGGAGCAGCTGGTATATTACAATTGGGTGTTGAAGTCTGCAAAAATGTGAAAAGATTTAAAATTAGATATTAAATTTAAAAAAGTTGTTAAAGGAATGATCTTTGATAATTTCAATTTTTAAGAAATACATACTCATCACAAATCCGATTTCGAACTCATTTTTAACGAGGACATGTCGCACGATTACTTATAGGACTTTGGTATTTACTTATCGACTTTTGGCCAAAAGTAAAAGTCCTTATACAAAGTGACCGGAAAATAACAACTTGCTTCGTGCTCATCTATTGTTAGAGTAATGGGTCACAGCCAGATTTGTAATGAGTATTTTTGCTGCGATCATGGTGCAAATTTTATTACTTACCTGTGTGGGCCAAAATCCTGTAGTTAATATTCTACATGTAAATTCTACGCTCAAATTAATGTTGTGATTGGCTATATAGGTTTTGAACTCATCATTGGTGGTATTCGATATGGACATATCCTTGAACATTCCCTCCAATTTAGATGTGAATTGACAGCCACACTCAGTCTGTAAAGAAAGATGCAAAAAATTAATAATAAAAACAAATTTTATAAATAAAAAAAAAAAAAGATAAGGCATTTATCGGTTTTGGCGACAGATGTATACCCTCAGCCAATGTTCGATTATTTGGACTTTTATTATGATTATTCAAATTGATGACCCTCTGTGGAGTAGGTTCGGAAGGAATGGGAAAATATTGTCCATTTCATATTGGATCTAAACTAATATGATATAAATATTGCGACATGCCAGTTGTGGACAATATCGACTACTTCATTCACTTTATATGATATATGTGATAATTTTTAGAGGGGTGAGGTATCAGAAGAGGTTCCCAGATATATGTCATCTTCACAACAGATCTTGGGTTAGCAAAACTGTTTGTATGTGTGAAATTTGAAGAGAGTAGATTGATTATTTCGCTTTCTTTGAAAGTTGTGTTTTTCAAAATCTTGAACCATATGTTTTGGAGGTACCAGAAGAAATGATCCGATCTCTACTATCTTTATAACGGATCTTGTGTTGATGGAAATCTCGAGATGTACCAAGTCTAAATGGAATCGGATGATAATTTCGCGTTCTATAAGCGGAAGTGTTGCAACGTTGGAACCGATTTAAGTAAACTGTCGGTAACGGTTAAGTCACTATCGAACCCTGGGAAAAGGATGGACAGCAGTGCACAGTTTACGATGGGTGATGTTGCGAATGTCATCCAAAACGCTTAGTCATCCAAAGCGTTGGGCCCAGACGGAATATCAATGGTAATGTTGAAGCAACTGGATACATCGGGAGTTGAGTGTTTAACAAACGTCCTTAACCATAGTTCCCGAAGCCTGAAAAATGGACAGGGTAGTCCCGCTACTGAAGCCAGCAAAGGCGAATCACACAGGCCAATTTCGCTTTTGTCGCCAGTAACAAAGTCCCTCGAGGCTTTACTCCTCCCCAGTATCAGCGGAAGTTATTTAGTTGCTAACCATCAACACAGTTTTCGGCATTCGTTTTTCGTCAACCTCAACCTTTTCGGAATTCCGCGCACTCCAGACGGCATCGAGATCGTAACATATGCAGATGATTGCACGATCAACGCGTCGGGTCCTGTAGTTGATGATGAGGTTGCCGCCTTCTTCCATGCGAGGAATATGAACATATCCGACACTAAATCAACGGTCACACTATTTACCACATGGGAACGCAACTGAATGTTCAGGTCGATGGGCACATAACTCCGACCAATAACTACCCCAAAATCCTTGGTCACATTCGACGGCATATTCAAGTCGTCCGCGCAAGCCACAGCTATTTGCGATAAATTTAAAAGTAGGAACAAGGTCCTCAAGTCGTTAGCCGACGGGACTTTGGGGCGCAGATAAGGAAATCCTATAAATCCTATAAAGCCATAGGTCGGTCTATGGTTATCTATTCGGCTCCAGTGTGATCTGCGAATACGAGTGCAACGCAGTGGAAAAGCATTCAGACCTGCCAGAATGCTGCCATGAGAACTACAACATGACAGCATTGGACCATTTACATGAGGAAACGAAGGTTCTTCCCTTACGTCAGTATAATAATATGCTTTCGTTGCAGTAAATGCTTCGTGGGAGTCATCCTAACCACCATATGGTGGGCAGAACTCCCCCAGTCAGGAAGGTCCCGCATGATCTAGAGAGAAAGGTCCAGCGTCGCAGACGTACTTAACAATTACAGTATGAATGTCATCATCGGAGTCCACCCAATACGTTTGAGCTAAAGAACGTTTGCTGCCTAGGCAAACTAGGGTATTTTTCGACCAACTACGTATGGTGCAGAATGGTGCAGCCGTCTCAATTTAGATTGGACACGAATTGACGAAGATGTGCGGAACGCCTGTCCAGCGTGCGATACAGGCCCGCACAATACACTGCATCTATGCAATTGTCCAGCCAAGCCTACCCAACTCCGTCCAGAGGATATCTGGCTACGGCCCATAAAGGGCTGTAAACAACAAATAATTCCACTAAAATGTGGAATTTCAATTCCCACCACGTACTAGGTGGGCCAGAGGGTATCGACGTTGGAAGAGCAGATTGATTGATCCACATTCTACAGGGTAATTGAGGATACCCCCAACCGAGGGAGTGTCACAATTTAGCCATAGTGTCCGATAAATAACGTGACTTGGGAACCCGTCATTCCTCTTTTATCAAACCAAGCACCCACAATCATCTCCATAACAGATCATCCGATTTTGTAACCTCTAACCATGGGCTTCTAATGCTCGGGTAGCAGATAGAATGTTTCGCAGCCGCTCGCTATATACCTATTGGTACAATACCCAAAATAAGACCAAATTTCCCAGAAGAGGCAGCGGGATTAGCGAATATGACCCGACGTCAAGATCGTACAGTCATCCGCATAAGTTACGATCTCGGTGGCGTCTGGAAGGCGCGGAATTCGGCAAAGGTAGAGGTTAAACAGTTACAGAGTTTCACTCTACGAGGCTTGGACTTCTTGTTCCGAAATTCTACGTACGACTGGCGTCCACACATATAATTGATCATCCAAACACGGTCGGAGTGTAGTTTTCTCAAAGTCCTCGAACAGCGTGACAAGATTGACTGTGTCAAAGGCATTTGACAAGAGCATCACGACTGTTCTATGACACGGCCTGTTCTGGATATGGTGTGCAATGCTGTTGTGGACGGAAACCGTGTTGATGGCTAGCAATTGGATAACTTCCTCTGTTGCTGGGGAGGTGTCAAACCTCAAGAGTCTCTGCTACTGGCGACAATATCCAAAATAAGACCAAATTTTCCAGAACAGCAGCGGAATTAGCGCATGAGCGAGATGAACTGCGATATTCCACCAAACCAGCTGAACCTATCCCACTCCCTCCTGGATATCTTTTGCCTAAAGCCTTTTAGATTAGCGGATTTCTTCAATCTGAATGTTACAACAGAACCAGTTTAGTGAAATTAAAACACTTCACACATGTGTGCCTGATACAAAATCCTTTAAAAACCACTTGACTCACTAACAATTTATCGTGGCTTCCATCACAATATACCAAAACGGTCGTGCTAAGCTATGCCATTTATATCCAACAATTCACTTACCTTCAATTTTGAAATCATATTCTTTTCAAAATCGTCGGATACCGATTTATTGAGCAGCAATCTCTTGGCCAAATGTGTTTTGTAATAACGCTCGAAAACATCCTTTTCCAATAGGAATCTAAACAACACCATTGTCTTATCGAGTATAACTTCGATTTCCTGTTCGCTCATCTGGAAGAGATTAAGAAAACCAATTATTATTATAATCACTATTGTAATTCATTTCCCATATAAAACTTACTCCCTTGCCACCCTTCTTCAGTTTGTCATCGATGAACAGCGACAAGTATTCCGGTGACTTGGAATTCAAATTAAGGAAATGTTCAAAATCGGACGATATGACATTCTTAAATAGCCGATCATTGTTAAACGAATGATGCAGAAATTGATCGAAACGATCTTTAAGATCCAATAGATTTTGCACAAATGTTATGGGATTTGTGTTGCCGTTCTCCTCCTCCTTGACCAGCATGCGGCCCTGTTCACGCAAATAGGCCGACATGGTGTCGGCAATTACTTTCATGCCCTCATCCTTGAGACGTGAAAATAACTTGTATGTACATGCCAAATCTTCGGTTTTGGAATTTTTAATCATATACACCACACCGGAATTTTCCATTTCAACAATGGTTCGCATGTGTTTTTTAATAAGTTCATCTTCGACAACTTTGACGATGCGTGGTTCGGTGTCTTTGTCCAGGTAGAGAGCGGCCCGTGAGGATTCCTCTAGGATACGTTGCTAAAAGGATAAATAAACAAAATGCTTAGTTTAATAAAAAGTTATAAATTCATTAATTTCTTTCTTTTACCTCTACTTTCCTTAAATAGACACTGGCATTGTTTTCGGCCAAAAACTTTTGTGATTCAAATTTGTAAAACGAAGCCGATTGAGCCAAAAATGGTTTTTCAAAATCCTCTTCATACACCGAACGTGAATTGATGCCCAATGCCATTAACATTTGGCAGGCATTTTTAATGGCCAAATGATTTATGGCCTCGCCACTGCGCTCACTCATGACCATGTTTAAAAGGGTTTCGCGCAAGGCTTTCTGGATTTCCGAATAGCGTACAATCTGTGGGGGAGTGGGGAAAAAACATAAACTTCATTTTCCGTTCAAAAATTGAATTTCTTTTCAAAAAGTATTTACCTCATCTCTAAACAGTATTAGACCCAAATTATAAACGTTCTCCACATCTCGATTTTGCACATATACACGATCCATATACATTAATATGTCGCGTATCATTACCATTGACGTCTGATGATCTGTCCAGGCCTGATTCAGCTTTGGCAAAAAATTATTGTGTAAACTTTCCAGGACATCTTTGCGCACCTTCTCCTCCAAATGTTCCTTGACCACGTCACGCAATCCAAAATACAAACGATGTCCGTGTTTGTGCAGCACCATATTGTAGGCATTGCGATATAATTGTTCAAATGAAAGTCCGGAATTGTTTTTCTTTTGAATTTCTTGAATGGCGTTCTTTAGACTTGCCCATATTGTTTCCACATACTTCTCGTCCATGGAGGCCTGCAAAAAAGACAAGAAGAAAAAGATTAGTAATCAGGTTATAATTTAAAATTAAAGAAGAAGGAATGAGAATTTAAGAGGATTGAAATTGACCAAACGAATGCTTTGTCTTTCATACTCCGAGGACGGCAATCATCCTGTAATTGCATTATCCTGTAATTGTAATTGGCATCTGCATCAGTAGGATTGCCACTCAGACCTTCATGATAGGCTTCTTGATCTAGAGGTTCTCTCTTATAGCGTTGGACCTCCCTCTCTCATGTATGCCCTTCATGTATACCCTTCCTGACACGAATGGGTGTGGATGTTGTATCCACCATATACCATTATGATGGTATATATAAGGATGATTTCCACGATCACACCCAAGCAGGTACTGCAACAAAAGCATATGATAATGCTGACGTAAGAGAAGGACTTTCGCCTCATCATGTAGATGGTCCACTGGTGTCATGAGGAGGCACCCTGTCGCAGTTCTCCGGGCGGCATTCTGGCAGGTCTAAATGTGCTTCCACTGCGTAGCACTAATATTCGCAGGCCATACTAGAGCCGTATAGCTGACCACAGACCGACCTATTGCGTTATAAAGGGTCAACAAGGTTTCCTTGTCCGCACCCCAAGTGCTGCTGGATAGCGCCTTGAGGACCTTGTTCCTACTTTTCATCTTGTCGCAGATAGCTGTGGCTTCCGCGGATGTCTTGAACATGCTGTCGAATGTAACCCCTAGAATCTTGGGGTAGTTCGTGGTCGGTATTACATTTTCCAAGACCTGCACATTCAGCTGTGTTTGCATCTCCGCAGAAGTGTCGTGTGGGGCTTTGCACGAAGGAAGGGCCCCTGTTATGGGTATTAGCCACAACATCTCCTCTGTAATAATTAAGGACGTTATAATACCCAGACCGAATAGGACGTGTTTGCTTGGAAAGTTGCCACTCATTCTCCGATATAGCAGAAGGAAGTTCCTTAAGGCCACTGTTGCATCTATAGCAATTTGTGACCTTGGAGACCGCCCTGTTGATGCATTGTTTTCAAAGCCTTAGCTATGTACGATGTCTTGACGTCGGATGGACTTGCCCTGCCTTTACAATAGAACTTGAAGTCGCGAAGGATATATTGGGGAGTTGGATCTTCCATAACTGTGTGATGGTTGGGTTGACGTCGGATGATGTCTAGCTAACAAAGTGTTAGGCTACCTGACCGTGACAGCATTGTGGTCTCCTCATTGATTTAATCCACACTGGTCATTCGGATACAACCGGTTGCTACTCTAAATATCTCTAAGAAATAAAATCCAGACTTGTGTATTATGATTAGATCGGAATGACTTATGGCCTTGTATGTCATTATCAATGTCTCTTTATCTTGGCCTTGTGAGGTGCCAGGCAAATGCTTTGAGGACCTTATTGTTGGATTTTACTTCTGGCTGTTATTGTAACAACAATATATGTTGTCTTCCTTTCTGCTAGTCTGGATTAAACTCAGGAATTCAGCTACCTTCACAGGCTGCAGCCAAAGATTTTTGGAAGTGAGTCGGGTGGATTAGGCAGGGCAATAAAAGATATGCAGTGTATAGTGGGGGATATGGCATCGAGACCAAGGGCTTTGGGTTTGGAGATGACTGTCTCCTAACCTCATTGGGTGTGAGGGACAAATGTTTTCCATATCCCCCTCGAGATTTTTGCATCTCTGTGCCAATCTGGAAGCACTGAATGGAAAATTTGCCTATATAAGAGGTAATCGGCATAGGTGGATCAATTTGGTATAGCCGCCATATAAAGTTTTTTTCACGGATATGTCCAAAAATTGATATTCGTAAGTTATAATGGGTTCTAGCGGAACATAGTATATATAGATCCACGTTTTGGTATAGCGTCCCACACAACGGTACCTCCCGATATTCAGAGTCTTTACTTTTGCCACATTTTTTAACGAATTTGTTCAGAAATTGGCATTTGTAGTTTGTAATGGGTTCTATCTTCTGCGGCGGAACATAGTATATATAGAACCACATTTTGGTATAGCACCCATACAACCGTACCTTCCGATATTCGGGGTTTTTACGATTTTTTCCATATTTTTCCACGAATTTGTTCAGAAATTGGCATTTGTTGTTCGTAATGGCTTCTAACTCCTGTGGCGGAACATAGTACATATAGATCCACGTTTTCGTATAGCCCACATACAGCAGTACCTCTCGATATTTAGGGTTTTTATGATTTTCCCCACATTTTTCCACGTATTTGTTCAGAAATTGGCATTTGTAGTTCGTAATGGGTTCTAAATCCTGCAGTGGGATATAGTATGTATAGGTCCACGTTTTGGTGTAACGCCAAACAACGGTACCCCCTGATATTCAGCATTTTTATTTTTCCACATTTTTCCACGGATTTGTCTAAAAATGGGAATTGCAAACTCATAATGGTTTCTAACTCCGGTGGCATTTGAATATTTAGGTCCACATTTTCCCATAGCCCCCGTATAATGGTACCTTCGGATATTCAGTATTTTGTCTAAAAATTGGTATTTCTAATTAGTAATGGTTTCTAACTCCGGTGGCAGATGGCAGGTAGGTCCATGTTTTCCCATAGCGCACATATAACGATATTGGATATAACGATAATCCTAATTACATTTACTCACGAAATTGTTTCAAAATTGGTATTTAAGGAGAATTAGCATGAGGTATAAAATGTTCTATAGATGTTTCCGTTTTGGTACGGCCCCTATATGACGGCCTCACCCACTTTATGATTTTTTGAAAACATACCGTGTAAAGAGCAACACGTTTGAGTTCAGATACTTTTATATAAACATGTTTTCTTTATCCAATGGAGAAGGGTATTAAAAGTTCGGCGCGGTCGAACTTAATTTTTTTTAGTTACGACTATTCGAAATTTTGAACTTTTAGTAAGAAGTAACGATTTCTGTGCGATATGCATTTTTATAATTTGGCCAATTTTTACAAATTGTGGGGATACTAGAAGCGGGAAAAATTATTAGGATGAAAATCGAATCGGATGAAAAACTAACGTGCCTCAGTTGTCATTATCGTAGCCAGACAGATTGATACGACATTTTTTCCGTATAAATACCCTCTAAGGCCATATGGCTGCGGGGTATAATTATGATTCTAAAGAATCTCAACACTAATATATAATTATTTGAGAAATTTGAATATTTTTTTTTTGCACTAACTTCAAATCCATTATGACGATAGACCGGATGCCAAAGGGGAAATTTTTGCTGAATTTCTTGCAATTTGCGATTTGGACTAGATGGAGATCTTGACGCGGAAGAGGAGGCATCAAACCTATTAATAGCGTTTTTTGAACAATGAGGAAAATCTCGCCGGGTCAAACATGATTTAATGCCACTTGGATTACGGCCAACCGTGTAATTTGAATTCAAGTTACAATTGCGTCGTGATGTTGAAGGCGCTTCAGATTCACTGTTGACATTTGGATGATGATGGCTACCGAATCCAAGACCTCTATTACCGCTGGCAGATGTGTGTCTGTTATTAGTTTGAATGCTTGGGTTGTTACTATTATGGACAACACGATCATTGGTTGGATTTTCACGTCTTGTTGCTCCTCTGCGCATTGAAGATGATGTTTTATTTCCCGTTGCAGATAGGTTATATGGTGGGTGGTATTTTTTTAATATTTTTTTATATATTTTTTAAATACAATAAAGTTATTTTCCTTCAATAAACATAAGGAAAAGAAACTGGAAATTTAAAATAGACAACAAATAAATGTCTGTTGTGACATAAAAAAATCATTGGCGCCTTTGTTTGTAATTCCAAAAGAAAATATAGTTTTTTATTTTCTTTTTTTTACAATAAGTAGAAAAGCCGAAGATTTCCAGAGTACACCCACATACATATGCACGTTGGCACATATCTTTGGCTTTGTCATCGGTATATATTGTAGCAGATGATGCAAGTGCATTTAAAAAATGTTCCTTTGTTTCAATTACAAAGCATAAAAAGTATATCGCGGCGCAACAGAAATAAAAAAACTTGTATATTGGAATTACGATCAATCAGATATCTTACAAGCCACTAACTAAATAAATAAGTAAATCATCAGGTGGTTTTTATGGAGGAAATGTAGCATGTTTGGATCTAAGTACTTGTTGTAACAACTCGGAATCGAAGGGTCTAAATAGTTAATATTGTGCTCATTATTTTGTTTACAAGCGTACAAAAGCATTTTGGTGAGAATTTTCCAGAAAAAAAACTTATTCGTGATGGAATTCAAGCGTGATAGTGTGATTTCTTTATATTTGGCTGGAAAACTACAAGTGGGTATCGTTAGAACACTCCAGCATTTAAAAGTGTATAAATCTAAACACCTTCGGTAGGCCACCAGAACTCAACCGCCGGCCATGGTGATGGTGTGGACCGCCATAACAGCCGATGGTCGCTCTCCGCTTGTATTAATCGACCGTGGCATCAGAATAAATACCGAATATTATCGCGAAAATATTCTGGAGGGCGTATTAAAGCCTTGGGCACGCAAACATTTTGGCCGCAGATCTTGTATATTCCAATAGCATGCGCCACCCAAATATGGTTACAAAATGAGGTTCCTCGCTTCATTTTCAGCGCACAATGGCCACCAAAATCTCCAGATACCAATCCTTTGGACTTTTCTGTCTGGAGTATTTTGGAAAGCAAGGTTGGCACTAAAAAATACCAAAGTGTCGATCACCTCAAGCAAGCGCTTCGCCGGGAATGGGCCAAAATACTGCAGAGCAACATTGGGGAAGCGTGTGACGGTTTCATTGACCGTTTGAAGTCCATAATTCGTGCCAACGGTGACCGATTCTAGCAAATCTAAACTTATTCTAAAATTTGATGCTATTTCCGACATTTTTTGCTTTCATTCAATAAAATAAAAAAAATGTAAAAATGATGGCGTTTGACTTTGTTGCAGTTTTTTTATCTCACCCTGTATATCATTTGATACAGCAAAAAGGTGCCTCATCGGAATAGTGGTTTTAGACCTTAGATCTCTTTGGACTAAATCCGTTTAAGGACAATTGGAGGCGATCTAGTTATGTCCGTCCATCTGTCTGTCTGGTTGGATGGTGCGCACGATAATTATCGAAGGAAGTATCTGATTTGGTCCAAACCTGGTAGATCGTAATATTATTGTCAAACTTAGATCGAGTTCGAAGATAGGCAATATCGGTCCACGCCTTCTGGTGCCTCCCCCACAAAAGGGCGGCATTTTCAACAAAAAAAATATTTTATTACACAGAAAGAGAAAGGAAAATCCGATTTTCGAATCCAATTTTGCAATTCCTTTTTCCTTTGACCCATTTTTTTAACGTATACTGTCCAGTCTGGCCATGTCTTTTTCCAAAAATTGCAATCTTTGGTGGGTAGTCCCGAGGAATTTTTTTGTTTTCGGTAAGCTGTGACCAACTTGTTTCGGCAACCACTCGATCAACTTTGACATAGCCCCTCGCTAGGTCCTGGAAATACAGCAGACCCTAATGAAAATTTAGAGTCCATACCTTGGGAAGGATGGACATATGCATATATCTTTGTATTCATGATCCCTCAAGGGGTAGCTGTTATGTAGTTTTCAGATCGATCCTCTTCTACCAGAGGTAGAGGGTAAAACATTTTAGAATTGCAACGATTGAAATTGTTTACCTCATAATGTTTTTAATATGAACTATTAAAACTAGAAATCACATAATTCGTACTTACCGGGAAAGCGCGTATACGCATCTTTCCCTCCTTTTTGGGAGCATTACTCCTGATATTCATCGTCTGTAGACGGCGACAATTTTCCTCCACTTTATCAACTTGACGTAACGCGCTGCTGCTGGCAGTTGTTTACAAAAACGGCAACAGCAAAACTGGCGCTGTTCTCAAACGAATGTCACAACAGCAGCAGCTGTGCACCTGTGTGTTAAGATTTCGATTTCGGGAGCAGCTAGTGAATGACACACTAAACTCTTGTGAAAAAAACAACAACAAAATTCGAAGTCAGTGTGTGATGCTGCCGCCTTCCTCCGGTTGTGGGTATTCTTATTTTCAAAGTGGATTGCGAACGATTCTTTTTTAATAGCTTTCAACTATGGATCTGCAGAAGATGTGTGGTTTGTTGACTTTCTCCTATTGGCCGCAACAAATAAAAAAATAGACAGCCGACTATGTCGGAATTGCAAACCAATTGGTTTGATTGTTGGTGGCTGGCTGGCTGGTTGGTTGGTTTATTGCTGGGATGCTGTATTCTGTGACTACTCTTTACAATAATCCTGCAAATAAAGAAGGAAGGAAAAGAAAACAGATGATGGGTGATTTATAAGACAACAAAACAAAAACAACAATATTAATTATTTTCATAATTTGTGTATGATTGTTGGCATGTATGTGTGTGTTCTGTGTTTATTGCAAATCTGTAGACGGGAGAAATGATTGTAAAATGCATGAATGCTGCTGCCTAGGCATGTTATTGTTGTTTTTCTTGTCATTGTTTGTTACGCGGCCCGAGTCTTCTCTGTTAATGCACTTCCAATGGAGGAACCATTTCAGACTTATTTTTCCATTTTTCTTGATTTTCACTGTCATCTCAATAGCAGCAGCACCAGCACTACATATTTTCCTCTTCTTTAATTTTCATATTTTTTTTTTTCGATTGCCGTCCGTCCCATCACTTTGCGTTGTAATAACTCTTCAAATGTTCACAAATCCCCGTATAAACAAAATACATCATGCTCTACACATTTGTCATTGTTTGTAGGGTATTTTGCAATACTTTTTTCCGGATATTTTGCACAAAATTATTAAAATACTAATAACATTATTTACTTGGAATAATTTTCATTTTTACAGCACACACAAAAATGGATGAACACAGAAAGAAGGAAAAAATGATGAGAGAGCAGAAAAAGTGAGTAGAACAAGGCAGAATAAACAGGTAAACCATGAAATGTCAAAATTACTCCATCCTTAATTACACAAAACAAATGCATTTTTATAAATTCTTTTAACATAATTCCGCTAAGAAACAATTACTTAATTGGGTATTTTATGAAATGTAATTTTTAAACACAATTTTTGTTGATAATCTTAATTTTTATTTTATGTTGTGAATTACTAAAATTTATTTCAACATTTTATGCTCAGTCAGCTGTGCTGGTGTGCCTACCTTTTATATCTGCCTTGGAGTAGAAAAGAGAAATGTCAAAACAGTGTTGCCAGCTATTAGTTGTGTTTTGGATAATTTGTTTACGTAAACACCCAATTGGAAATTGGGAATGCCCGGAAATAAATTTGTCTTGATGGGCAAAAAAACAAAAAAAACACAATAGGGACATTTTTAAGGTTTATACATTTTTAAAGGCAAATTAATTGGCTAGAATTTTTAATAACCCTTGGCCAATGTTCGATTATTTAAATATATATACTGACTTCTGTTATGATTATTCAAATTGTTAACCCTCTATGGAATTGTTTCTGAAGGAATGGGACAAATTTGTCCATTTTGTATCGGGCCTAAATAAATATAATATAATAATGGACTCTATTAGTTACATACTTCACTTTATATGAGATATATGGTAGTTTTTAGAAGATGTTAAAATGTGCGTGAAGTACCATATATCGAACATTTATAACCAATTTTATGTGAAATCATAAATTCTATATTCATCTCAGGTTCCGTGTGTAACGACAGGTAAAAATATTGAAAATTGTCACCCTTTGTGGGTCCCAGAAAGAGTTCGAAGATATATAATCTTCACAATTGATCTTGTGTTAGTAAAAATGTTTGTATGTGTGATATATGAATAGAACCGGGTTTTTATTTCGGATTAAATAATCGTTTTGATTAGTTGAAACTTTGACCCTCAGCGGGGGAGGTACCAGAAGGAATGGTCCGATCTCTACCATCATTATAACAGGTCTTGTGTTGATAGAAATATTGAGATGTGTCAGGTCTGAATGGAATCGGATGTTAATTTCGCGTTTTATGAGCTCCAGGGATATTCAAATTTTTGACCCTTTGTGGGGGAGGTACCAGAAGGAGAGAACTGATACCAGAAAGAGAGAACTGGTACTTGATAGAGTGGAGAGATATTGCGCATTTTCGCACTTGACCTAGAACTGATGCAAATATTAGGATTTGCAAAGTTGGAGCAAAATTGGATTAACCTTTGTTTTTCTGGGTATTAAAACATATATTTTTTGAAAATTTCGACCTTTTGTGGTGGAGAAACCAGAATAACCAGATGGGATACTCCCTTCGAGAGTTTACGAAACAACTGTAATTAGGTAAAAACGCTCCAGGGCCCCTGGGGACTAGACTCGGATCCACTTACCCTATACAGACAATACAAGTATCATTTAAAACTTATGAAAACACTTGTCCAACAAGTGGAGAAGAAAAAGGTATTAGCAAAAATTGTAGTATTTTGGAAAGGTAAGAGTGTCAGTTATAACATGGCATCAATTTTGTTGACCCCCATAATGGGCACTTTGTCGATTTTTTTGGGGTTTGGTTATTTTTATAAGCTTTGCAACGGTCTCGGGTCCGTCCCCCAAAAAATGTTTTTAGGAATCAGGGTAAAAATACCTGCCACTGAAAAAAAATTCAAAAAATTGAAGAGTTTTTACTAATCTAGAGTAAAGCCGATGTCTGATAGTCTTTAAAAATATTGCAAAGAACCTTTTCAGGGAAATTTGGTAATGTCAAAATGGGAAATTGAAGCACTACTTGAACAACAAGATAAATTATGTGTACACCCCTTTACAATCATAACGGAACAGTTGGTTAGAAAATATTGACTCTGGCAACCCTGTACAATGTTCTTTTGTTGAAATGTATAAACATTCCTAATATACATTACAATTAATGCATGAACCATGAACCAATACATAACAGCCAATTATAGTATTAAAAGCGACAATTGGTCAAAAAATATTTATTATTAAACATTTATTTATTATGCTGCACAGTTTCCAATCGCACAATGTTGTTTTATTTTTGTCCATTATAAACCGACCATTAGTCTTATTGAAGAAAAACACTCTAATATGGCATTCGTTGCTCTCTCTCTCAACATATGTTCCATTGAGTCTCTCTCTCTCACTTATGTCTTGTTTTTCTTCTTTTTTATGAAAACATAATTTATTTCTTTCCTTTTCACTGCTATTTTCTTGTTATGCCTTACCTTTTTCCTGTTGTTGTATTATTTGCAAATTTTGCTATCACTTCAGTGTGATTTGCCAAAAATTTAGCAAAACGAAGTTGCTTGTTATTTTGCTTTGGCAAATTTAGACACATACACAGATGAAATTCACGTACAAATTCCGTTAATAACTATAAACACGAATTGATTCAGTTTATTTGGTCTTTTTAGTTTTGTTCACCAAGGATTTTCTGATTTTCTCTAGTAAACAAATCACTTAAATGCAAAAATACCCGTTCCTTGCTAGAAGAATTAATAAGAAACGATGAGATAGAAGAATGCCTGATAAAAATGAAATGCGAATAGTCCAAAGCCGATTGGGTTAAAGTTTCAAATGAGGGCACAGTAATCGGTTATCGATTGATCGAAAAAAACCGAAGCTCCGTTAAAAAGTAGAAAAATATGAAAATTCCCACAAAATTAAAGTGAAATTTTTTGAATTCAAAAGTATTTGGACCAATTATAGACTGATTTATTTAATACGCATGCAGTTTCGTGAAAATAATAAGATATTTTGTGATAATCTCAAGTTTTCCGATGGAATTAAAGAAAAGTGAGCGTCATTGCATGATCTGCTTTGTTAGCTTGAGAAGAAAGCTGTAGAAAAAAACTAAAATTTGTAAAAAGTGCAAAAAACAGTGGAATATTTTGAATTAAAATGATTTGGGCCAATTACAAACTGATTTACTCAATACACATGCAGCTATTCTCGAGTTTTCTCTGACTTAAATGAAAGTACGCCACTGCAGAATCTGTTCTGTTCATAAAAAAAAAAAAAAAAAAAGCTGCATCAATGAAGTTATGTGAATTCAAATATCATTACAAAGCTGACAAATAAAAGGACAGCGGGTAAGTTGTTGGAACAACTCTAGTTTAGTAAAAACACTTAGATTTTTTCCACATTTTTTGCAGAGGTATTTATTTTTACCCCGAGTTCCGGGAAACTATTTTTATGGGGGAAGGGACCTGGGACCCCATATTTTTGACCCGAAAGTCTGGGTTCAAATTTAGAAAACTTTGGTTTGCGTTAGCCAGTGTGGGACTTACCCAGAGGAGAATCTCAAGCCCCGGCCGAAGGCCGGCTACTTACAACAACTGTTAAATTAAAAAAACTTTAGTTCTCGTAGCCGGTTGAACGTACCAGGAAGAGAATATCTCTGGACCCAGAAAAGGTATTAGCACAAATTGTAGCATTTTGGAAAGGTAAGAGTGTCAGCTATAATTCGGCATCAATTTTGCTGAACCCCATAATGGGCCTTTTTTTGACTTTTTGGGGGTTTTAAAAAAATGCAGGTCCAAAAAATCGATAATTTTAGTATAACTTCCGAACGGCTTCAAATTACCATTTGACCAATTGTTGGATAGGTATTTCAATATTGGATATTGGGAAAATAGGGGTCTCTCACGGCTATGTTTGGTTGTTGTAATTGTAGCAGCAATACATTTTGGGTGCTAAGTTCTGTTAAAATTGGTATTCTTTAGTTTTTTAGGGAACTCTAAAAGCAAAAAATGTCGGAAATAGCATCAAATTTTAGAATAAGTTTAGATTTCGAATTGGTCACATTTGGCACGAATTATGGCCCTCAAACAGGAAATGAAAACGTCACACGCTCCCCGAATGTTCTTCTGCGGTATTTTGGCCCATTCCCGGCGAAGCGCTTGCTTGAGGTGATCGACACTTTGCTACTTTTTGTGTCAACCTTGCTTTTCAAAATACTCCAGACACAATAGTCCAACGTATTCGAATCCGGAGATTTTGGTGGCCATTGCGCGCTGGAAATGAAGCGAGGAACCTCATTTTTGTTTTTGGCGCATGTTGAGTGCGATGGTGCTGTGTTTTGTTGGAATGTCCAAGGTCTGCGGCAAAAAGGTTTGCGTCCCCAATATCTGCAGGACTTTTGGTATTGAAAATGGGGCACGTAGGTCAACGTTTTGGTATAGGCCCCATATATAACGGTACCTCCCGATGTTCGGTACTTTGATGATTTTAGCGACATTATTCACCGGAAATGTTTCAAATTTGCTATTTGAAGTTCGTAATGGATACTAAAGCCTATGATAGAAAATTGTCTGTGCAGGTCCACGTTTTGGTATAGCCCCCATAGTATCTCCCTATATTGGGAATTTTGGGTCGTCGAATAGACCCTAATATAACGGCTACATTCGGTATTTTTAAGATTTAGCAGAATTTTTAACGATTTAATTTTTTTTTGAAAATTGTTAATTGGTCTCCGCTCGTAGTTATAGTCCGTGGCATCAGAATAAATGCCGTATATTATCGCGAAAATATTGTGGAGGGTGTATTAAAGCCTTGGGCATGTAAAAATTTTGGCACTAGACTTTGGACATTCCAACAGGACACAGCACCATCGCACTCAGCACACGCCAAAATTCGTGTTTAGCGGTCTTTTTTAAATGAACGTCAAGGAATCTGCCTAAAAAATATTTGTTAAAAAAATCCACGCCTAGAAACCAGCTCGAAAAAATATTCGTTAGAAAAACCCACATCTAAAGGTCTGTTTGACAAAATATTTTTATAAAAATGCAAGTCTAGTGGTCCGCTTGCTAAAATATTCGTCTGCTTTGAACAAATTCTTTGAAAAATAAACGTTCAGAGTCCGCTTTTAAAATTTTAAACATCCATTTGTAAGGGTATGCTTAACAAAGTAATCGTTGAAAAATTTTGTACTTAGAGAGACTGCTTAAAAAATTATATTTAAATTAAATCCACGTCTAGGGATTTGCACATAAAAACTGCATATAATGTTCTGCTTGAAACAAGTATCATTTAAATAAACCCCTTCTAGATGTCTGTCTAAAAAAACTGTCTTTAAAAAAATCACGTCTGGAGGTCTACTTTCGAAAATCCAAGCCTAGAAGTCGCCTTAAAAGAATATTCTTTAGAATATCCGAAAATGTTCTGTTCCAGAACCTGCAAGAATCATAAAGGGAAAATCGGTTATTGTAGTAAAAACTTGTACATTCTTGCAGTTCCGAAGCACGGCTAAAGTAAAAAATATTATTTTTATATTCACAAGCTTCCAAAATATTCCCCCATCTTAAAATTGTGGATGCGTGTGTGAGTGGCTGCGTTTTGAAACATGGTGTAATTGAACACAACACACAAAGTAATAAGCCGACAAATCACAGGGAATGTTTGAATGAAATGTCAATCTGCCACTGAGTAATCGGCTTTATTTGTTCAGATGTCAGCAACAAACGAATGGACTTGGCTAAGCCCAAGCCAAAACTTCTTATTGCACACATAGCAAGAGATTTTGAAAATTATCAAAGTGCAAAGTGAGTGGTCCAGTGACTAGAGGCCGATTGAAAGGCTAAATGTCACATTACATGACAGGTGGTTGGTTGTGGCGTTGTTGGTGGTGGTGTTGGCTAAAATCAGAAACACCAAACACCAATGCCAACAATTGGAGCGTACTCTGGCAAACGTGTTAAGTACTCGACATACTAAACGAGTATTAAGGTTAAATAATCTCAACACATTTGTGTGGTTTATATCATGGGGGTTGTGGGTGAAGACAATGACACACGCACCCACACATTGACACATTTCCTTTGGGAGGCCATCTTCTTTGGTCTTCTTGTGTTCGCATGGATCTAAGAAAATGATTTAATTTTGTTACACAGGAAACATTCTTTAACCGGAAGCGGTTGGCAAGGTTCTCCTATTCTTCAGTTGTAAATGTTCCAATTGCTCTCTTTCGTTCTCTCCTTGGACTTTGTTTTGTATCCAGCTGCTGTCTTGTTGTGTTTGTTGCCAATTCAAGCGGAAACCACATTTTAAACGGAAATCAAATCTTTCTGTAGTTCTATTGAAATTTGTGGTCAAATTGAAAATTTGTGACATTCGCATAGTATCGTCGGCCTTCATCCGCATTTGGGAATTTCTTTTAATTTGATTTTAAGTGAATTATGAAATTCAATTTTATGATTATTTATTAATTGCAAAGTAATTGTGGGTGTGGGATTTTGGGAGATGAAATAAGTATGGAGACAATTTAACTTGAGAGGGGCGATATATGGTTGAAGAGAAAAAGAAAAATCAACTTAGAAGAATATTCGTTTAAAAAATTCATACCTGAAGAGATCAGCTTGAAAAATATTCGTTAAAAACTGCAGGAATATAGGTCAGAGGGAAAAAATATTTAAAAAATTCATCTTAGAGGAATGTTTGAAAAACATAGTTTAAAAAATCCAAATCTAGAGTTCACTTTGAAAAATATCCTGCAAAAGAACTCCAAGGACAGAGGTCTGCTTGAAAAAAATTATTTGAAGTATAGATGTGAGAGGCCTGCTTGAAAAATATTTTAAAAATCTACGTCTAGAAGTCCGCTTAACGAAATATCCTTCAATTATCGTCTAGAGGTCTGCTTGAAAACAATCTTAACAAGTTAAAAAGTATCAATCGGTTTTGACGACAGATGTATACCCTCAGTCAATGTTCGATTATTTAATATATTTTCTTCATCTGCTATAATTATTCAAAAGATTGACCCCCTCTACGGAGTATGTTCCGAAGGAATGGGCCAATATTGTCCATTTCGTACCGGACCTAAATAAATCTATATCTATAAAAGAGGAAAATGTTTGTACGTTTGTTTGTTTGTTTGTTTGTTTGTTTGTTTGTTTGTAATTTATGGACTCGAAAACTGCTGAATAGATTTTTCTGAAAATTTCCATATATACTGCAACATCGCCTGAAAGTAACATAGGCTATATACATTTTTGAATTTCCACTTGGAACTGGAGATATAGCATCAGAATCGGAGGTACCTCCCAAAAATTTAGATTTTATATGCACATATCTATTGATCGGTTAAAGATACAGTATACAAATTTGGAATGTGTAACGGAATTTGGAACAAAAATAAGTTCGCTAAATTATATTGTAATCGGTTCAGATTTGGATATAGCTCACATATATATTTTCGACCGATTTCGTTCATTTGATGCCTCAAACACAATATGAATGTTCGATTCCAATTAAATTTGGAACATGTGACGGGATTTGATCCGAAAATAAATTTGTCAAATTATATTGAAATCGGTTCAGATTTGGATATAGCTCCCATATATATTTTCGGCCGATTTCAAGCATTTGATGCACCAAACACGCTATGTATCCCCAATTTCAATGAAATTTGAAACGTGTGATAGATTTTATCTAAAAAAATTTATTTCCCAAATTATATTGAAATCGGTTCAGATTTGGATATAGCTCCCATATACA